GTGACCCAGAATTTTTTTTTACCATTTTTGCTGTCCTTTTGATTAATATGTGTGAAGTACCAAAGCCTGTGTACCTCAATGCTGTTCATTACCCTGCCTTTTGGAAAAATTGAGGAAGAGCTAGGAAGAGACACGGGCAGGACCAGAGAGCATTATGTAGTTCAATCCAGAGATCATTTCTCCTGGTGTCACTTGGCTGAGGAGAGATAATTGCTCATGCCTCTGGTCAGAACTGTGTAGTAACATGTGAACCCTTGGGAGTAGGGGGTTCAAACCTGGGAGATGTCCTTCTTGGGGGGACATTTTGGAACCTCCAGGAGTGGATCATGGGAATGCTGGGGCTCTTTCAGCTCAAACTGTGAAAGCTGGGGCCTCAGCTGCCTGTGTGCTGTTCAGAGATGGGGAGCTGCCTGCATGCAGGTAACCAGATTTTAATTTTTCAGCTTGCCCCTGCAGCAGCTGCTCCTCATGGGTTTTTTTCCTGCTGCTCTGTGCTGCTGAGAACATCTGCTTGTGGGTGCTCCATGCCAGTGCTGCAGCTGAGGTATGGGATCAGAAGAAGAATGAGGAATGTGGTGGCTGCCTGTGAACCTGCTCACCTTCTGCACACTTTCAGGAGATCTATAAAATAAGGCAACTAATTGCTAAGTCTGGAGTTTGTTTAAATACAACTCAATTGTTGCATAATGTCTATTACCTAAATTTTTCTATCCTTTTGGAATGTTGCCCCTCAGGGATAACTGGATACAAGTGTTGCACTGCATGTGCATAAAGGCGGGAATATTCCTACGGGCTGCTGCAGCCCTTGCTGGAGGTTGTGAGTGGCAGTGTTTGTTTGCAGCATAATGGTGGGTTTTAGTTTGTACTCTGTGGTGGCAGCAGTGACCAGTGACTGTGGTCTGTGAACCTGTTGGCTTGGAGCCTGCCTCTGAAGAGCAGGGACTCAGGAAAGCAAAGACGGCTGTCAGCTGGTGCAGTTGTTCTATGGTAGGCTTTGCTTTTATCGGGAAAACCTTGCAAGTGGGAGAAGATTGAAAGCTTGCTTGGCCTTTCTGCAGGTGAAGAGAGGTCATAAAAGTTTTTTTTTTTTGGATGCCAATTGTTTTTTAGAATTCTAGTTATACTGTTTCATTTTAATGTAACTTTCCCTGGTTTTTCCCCTGTCCATATTCAGTCAAGTAGCACTTCTGTCTTTCTGTTTAACTACATGTGCAGTTGTCGCTATCCAAAATTCTTTATTGATCTAATAAAGTAGTTAAATGAGGTGACTTTGAAAATATAATAGGATAGCTAAGTGAATCTATATAGAAATTCATGTTTAACAGAGAGCATATTTGATAAAGTTAGCAAACATTCTGTGAGCAGTGTTATAGTTATGGCTGTTTTCAGACAATTTGAAAGCTTTCTGGAGAACTCATCCTCTGGAGTAAAATGTTTTCTGCTTGTTTCTCTTATGAAAGGGAATAAAGTGTTACTGTTGTCAGAATCCATTCATTTCTCATACCTTGTAGTCAATGATAACACTCCCCTTCCTGTTTTTGAGATACTGAAACATGGAAGTGAAAAATGCCTCATTTAATTATTTAGATATAGGCAAATAATAATGTTTTCCCCTTTTCTTGCACTATTTCTGACTGTTCTTTAAAAATTCCACTGCACCCCTGGTAGGTGAAATGGTGTGGGCCTGAAACAAGAGACACCATTCCTAAAATTTCAGCCTGGCTCATATCTGAATGTGCTGCCTCTCATGCTTCACTGCGAATCCACATCAACCCACTGGTGTGATAACATGGAATGAGCTGCAGTCACCCAAACCTTTGCTTCATCTTGAGCAGTCAGACTGGCAGGAGTGGAAAATGCTCCTCAGCAGCAGGTTTGACGCTTAGGAAAACTGATTCAGGAGTAAATTCTTGCTCTGACGGCGACAGCCTTGCTCCTGCCGTGTGCCATTGGTGACAGAGGAGGAGCAGCAGGCCATGCCAGGTTGGGAACCCCTGGCATGGGCCCTGCCCACACGTGGTTGCAGGGAGGGGCTTGATGGGGGGGTAGAGCTCTTCCTGCTGGGACTCATGGCACCTTGCTGGAGTTCAGCTGAACAGTGTAATTAGTATCATTCTAGCTCCCAGTCAGCTGTAATAGGTACCAGGAAGGCGCTTGTCTTTGCATAACCTATTAGAAAAGCTATTTTACTTTCCTACGTGTATGCCTTATATGGAAGAACAGGCGACGTGGTGAATTGTCAGGAGACTACATGAACTGCATTTTCCAGTGTCACAACTGGCAACTGTGAAATCTGCATCAAAATGCTTGTACCAATCATCCTTTAGGCCAGCGAGGGGAAAGTACTGCTGGGTGTGCAGGGTGCTCATACCTGAGCTGGGGGCAGATGCCTACTCTGGTCCCCACTGGTGTCAAGGGAGTTAGTGGCTGAACTAGGGAAGCTGATCTGGGCAATCTTCCAGCCTGAAGGATGTGAGGCAAAAACGGATGGGAGGAACTGTAAGTGATATGAGGGAAGCAGTAGGCTAGGAGAAGAAGGGTCCAATAAAATCTAGTAATAAAATACATCCATAAGACTGCAGGACCTGAAGTTTGAAACAGTAGCTCTATGCTTACATGCTTGGCACAATTTTCATTTCGAATTTGTCTGCTTCCTTCAGGCTTCCTCTTGCCAGAGAGGTGGTCTGTACGCTCACTGTCTGCAGCTGGAGAGTCCCTGCTCTGCTCATGCCAGTGGTGATAGAGGACCACAGGGAGATAAGAGTTCTCCTTGTAGCAGTCATTGCTCTTGGGTGGGTGTGCTTGGCTGGTTTTCCAGATCATAGACTTCAGGCAGTAAGGCATTAGAAATATTATAGTCTATTAAATGTACTGTGGAGCGTTTGGCTGCACTAACTGCTGCTTTTAATAGAGCTCAGATCTGACATTTTTGGGACTGAGAGGGTTTGGATGTAAACTTTGTTAAATTGGTTTTGAAAAAGGAAGTTCTTTCATGCTTTGAAGGGAAAAAAATATGAAGACAGAACTGCAAGTCTCTTCCTTAAATCAAAGTTTTCTGCCTGAAATGGGAACAGCTCAGCAGAACAGTTTAAGTAAACATGGCCATAACTGCTTATCTGAGACATTGGCATCCTCTCTTCTTACTGTGTTACTTTTTTGTGGTATCCTGGCGTCTCTCAGTCACTGATGTGTTTGTTCTCACAGCACCTCCTTTGTAGGCATATGCTTTTGTGTCCATTTGATAGTTGCTACCAAGATTTGAGGCTTTATCTGAAGACCTTGCTCCACGAGTGTACCTTTTCTACACCTCTGCAGATGAGATTTTGCAACTGCTGTCTGAACAGTCCTTCCTGCCTCCAGCTCTGAATTTCTCTCTGTCTCTGTTGTGGCTTCTTTATTTATTAAGCAGGGGAAAAAACAGAGGCAACTGTTTCTGAGTCATCCCAAGTCAGTGTTCAGCTCAGGACAGGATAAAATCTAGGCCAGTGACAGCTGGTGTACAGTTGTAGCCTGTGTGGGGGGTCAGTATAAACTGGGAGATTTGCTGAAAATCACGTTATGTATGTGAGAGTGCAAGGAATTAGGTACCATACTGTAAAGCTGGTGCCTGAGAATGGGATCATGATTCTTCTCCTAGGTAGGAAAAACGCACCATATTGTGAGAATGACTTATTGATACCTAACATTACAGCTTGGGTGAGTTTTGCCTGTGTATGTTAAAATAATGTAGACCTAGAGTGGGTCTTTTATCCAGGAGGCATTGCCACCTGCAAATAACTTCTTTGCACTCCAAGTTCTTCCACTGTACCATTGCTTGAAACTTCATTATTGAAATTAATTTTTAAGTTAACGCTTTGCTCTTAAGACCAGCCTCTAAAGAAAGAAATTTGTTTTTATTTGTACATGAACAACAAGAAGAATGTTTTAGTTATAGAATGTAGGATTGTAATTTATTTGATAGGTCTAGTAAAGTAAGAAATTCAGTGATGTTTCATAGAGCACTTCTGTGTGTTCTATAACATCTTCTTCAAAGTAATGGAAGAATAAGAAATGAGAAGTGAGAGATGCTTTGTGTTTTTTCATGGGAATGAATTTGTCTGTACATTTTTGAGGCTCTAGTAGAAGTTCTTCCTCATTTTGGTTATGTTACAAGGAATAAAATCAATTATAAGGAAAAAGAGAAAAAGAAAACTGTGCCTCTTGCTTACTTTTGTTGTGATTCCAACAACAGTGCATCAGGTCATGGGAAGTGATCTCAGCCATATTTTTAGTTACAGTTTGAAAAATTATGTTTTGTCATGAAATAGTGCCCAGAAGTTTAAAGCTAGTACACATGCAGATGTAAGTATATTGCACTGCCAATGCCAATCTAGTACATAAAGAGCTTCACAACTGTTTGGATCTGCTCTTCTTTTATAATGGGCTGCAACTTGTTTACTAATGCTTGAAAGCATGTACACATCAAATAAATCTCTGGTATTTGGGCCATAGTGTACCAGCATTATGCAAAGGGAAGATTACCCACACTCAGTATTAAGCTACGATCCACTTCACTCTTGATTCCTCACCATAGTAAATCAACCAAACCATCAAAGAACAGAATTAATGGAAGGGTTCCTCAGACAATAGATTTATTTCCATGTTTATTTGTATTATTGTTAAGAAAAGGGAAATCAGCAGAGCAAATCTGCCTGGAGGCTCAGGATGTTATAAATTAATCAAAAGACATGAAGTGAACTTTTGGGTGTGGAAAACCAGCAGCAGATGCAAATGCTACATAGCTACATCGTACGGTGTGTACGGTGTTGCTGCAACAACTGAGAGCAGCACTCCTGCTTTGACTGCTGCTGCTCTCAATAGATAGCCTTTGGCAAGCAGTATATTGGCAAATCTGACACAGAGTGAATTTGCAACATTGACTCAAAAGACTTTCCTAACATGAAGCATCTTTAATGCATATCATTTTAGCTCTTTCCTGTTTTTACTCTGCTCTCTTTCAGTGAAAAGGTCACGAGAAGCAGTAGCTGAATTTTTCTGAAGTGCTTTACAGCAGGGAAAGTGGGGAAACCTCTTAAAGTGGTGTCTTATTCCGTAAGTTAAACCTTTTATTCTTCAGTTAATTAATTAATTTATCTTCTTTTAATTTTTTAAATCCTATGTATCAGAATAATTGTAGTCACTTAGAAGCTGTCCCCAGGCAGTGAAACTCCTCATCCCTACCTTGGCTTTCCCCCTCCCCCAGAAGTAGTCTTTGCCAAATGAAACCTGTCAGCCCACTTTGGCAGATATAGAAGTGTGCAGCTGACTCAGTCCCTGCCACAAGGTGACAGTCCCTCTGCCCCAGCTGGGGCTGGTCGCTGCTTTCCTGCTCACACTCGATGTGCCCTATCGAGTGTGCGTCTTTTTCTTTGGCACTTGCCCCACAGTGCCCCACCTTTTCTTTGTGCATCCAACTGTAGTAATGGGAGGTTTTTCAGAGACCAAAATGGGAACTTTTTGGGTTTTCCCCTACAGCAATAGCATAGGTATATTTGATGTTGCTACCACTAACACTATAAGAAATAAAAGAGAGAAGACTGTATTAATTTTACAGTAACAGATAGGGAGATGTTCTTTAATGTAACTAGAGGTTCAGTTAGTGCTGCTGCCTTACATTGATTCCAATAGAAGGTCAGAGATGTAAAAAAGTGTAGTGCTGAATATTCAAATTTAATTTGTAGCATCAGTTTAGGATGGCTTATAAGTTTAGCTAGCCTTAAGGGTGCTAAGTATTTCCAGCAGAGGTCAGAAGGAATTTCAGCTGGTCAGCAGTTCCTGTGATTTGGCCTGATACTACTTACTATCATTTTCTTGCATACCTGATACTTCTGCATTTTTTTGCAGGTATGAGTTTCTTTGTTCACATCGCTTTATGCCTCATTTGCTAACTCTTCTGTTCTGGAAAATTGGCAGGATGACAGCATGCAACTCCCTCATCCTTTTGTGTTAGGGCTAATCCTCAGGTTTCTTTCTGATGTGTCTCCAGAAATATGTATTCAGCTGAGGCTGAATGCTGGATTGATTTGTAATACTAAAATGTGAACAGTGCAGATCACTTTCTGTCGCTTAAAAAAAAATCACAGTAGAGGTGTATATGAAGAGTGTCAGAGTTTTAAACTCAGTCACATAAAATATGTTTCTAAAATACAGATGTACTTTGGCACATGCCAAAGTACTTTGCTGAATCTGGATGTTTGTCTTTGCTTTGTAAACTCGGAACTTTACAATTAACAATTAGATGACTGATTACTTAACAGGTTATGGTATTTTACTGCTCTGAATTGTGCTTTGGCATGACAGACAGATTTTTATTTTGATTTCAGATTATATGACTTGTTTTTACTTCTTTTTTTTGCTTACCATATGATTTAATTAAAGTTTTGTTGCAGTGATTGACAGTTGTTTTATTTGATACCTGTTTATAGACGTTTATTCATTACTTTTTCAGTGTACTGATATTTGTCAGAAGAGAATGGTATTATTTCTTTTGTCAATGAAAATGAGGCTATAAATTACTGTAATTTTGGGATACATTTCTGGTATGAGCAAATAGTATTCCCTTGGTGAGTTTTCTACTGTGGAAAACTAGGTTATGCATAATATATTTTAGAAAAGACCTGTATTCCTCTGAAGAGGAATGGCATTGTGCAACTCCTAGAAACAGAGAAGAATCAAAATGTTTGCATAGTCTTATTCAAAGTATGGAAGCATCTGCAGTGTTGTTCTTCCTTGTTCACAGGGGGGACTGGAAATTATTGCTTCTGGATTCTGCTTGTGACAGATAAATAATTTTTTTTAATCCCTCTTTTGTAGGACATGGGGTGAAGGGTTCAGCTTTCAGCACCTCGGTGCAGTCACCTGCCAGGTTCTTCCCAGAGCTGCCCTGTGCCTGCCACTGGTGCAGGTGTGTTAGGTCTCAAGGTGACGATACCCCCAGTCACCAAAGAGCAAACAAAAGTCACACAGATGTGTCACACAGATGTGTGACTTTGAATTTTACGGACAAGTTCAAAAGGATTTTGCAAAATTACGACGCGAGTAAGCTGTGGGAGTTGGGAGGATATGATGTATTCTTCCCTGCTAAAATCATTGTGTTAACACTCTTGGCACCACCACTGAACTCCACAGTAACTCGTGGTGTACATTTGAAAAAGGCACCGAGCAGCACACACTGTTTAATTCTGCCTTCTGTTACGCAACAGAGCACGATTGCCTCAGTGAAGCACATCTGCATTGCGAGAGTAAACTCTCCTGGGAAGCGAGTGCATCTTCCACACAAGTAGGAGTGAGGCGTGGGCAGGGCATTGCTATTTTGGCAAGCAGAGGGAGCCAGTGTTGGAAAGCTGCCTCACCTTTCACTTTCCATGGAACTTACCCTTTCTCCCTGTTACAGGCACCAACCACTGCCACTTGCTTCTCTTAGTGGTGGCATGGAGATGGGGATGTTTTCAGTGGATGATTAAAAGCATTTATCAGGGTTTTGGGAACCATGGTCTTTGCTATCTGTCAGGTCTGTTTGTGATCCTTGAGCAGAATAGGCTGTTAAGGAGAAGTAAAGAATGCACTTTAGAAAACCATCTGGAAGAGCTAAGAAAACATTTTGGTTTTACTAAAATAAGCCAAAGAAAACCACACCTGTGTGATAGTATCTTCTTTAACTGCTAAGTCGGCAGCAGTTGATGGAAGGCACAAAATTCCTGTAACTTTTATATTATGTTTCAGTTTGCTTCTTCCAAGTCTCTCTCTTGCTGGAAGCAAAGTGAAGCTCCTGCTGTCTCAGTTCTGCTGAAGTTCTTCCTGTCATCCTAAGCTTGGTTATCAACCCTCATTTTTCTCCTATCAGCATGCATTACATTTTTATGGCAGTATTTAGCAAAGACTTTCCAACAGTGCCTATGACAGTGTAATTGGACCCCTCTGTCTGACTGAAATTACTCCCTCTTTAATGGGGGGCTCTGGCTGCTTTCTAACACAGCTTTCTTTGAGGCAGGCTGGAAGTCTAGTTAGCTGGTCTGTAATGTGGGTGCACAGCATTTCACCAGGCATTAGTCAAAGTAGTTATTCATGGTTTGCTGTTAAACTGTAAGAGTGGAGTGAGTGAGATTCCCCAGGGGTCTGTCCTGGCTTTGGTAATAAAATATTCACTGTTTTCATTATTGAAATGATTGATGGAGCAAAGAGAGCAGTTGGTAATTTTACATAGGATAAAAAGTGTGAAGGGGGCTGCAGGCTCCTTGGAAGGCAGGATTAGAGTTTTGAGCTGCCCTAGCTAATAGGAGAAATAGTCTGGGAAAAAACCCTGAAAAATAGCCAGGATACAAACATAGAAGTGCTGTAGAGAGATAGAAATATCCTGTTGCATGAGACAGGATGGGGCTGACTCAGTAGTGGTTCTTCGGAAGGTGGTCTGTGAGCTGGTGTTGGGCTGTGTTGGAGTAATTGTTTGGCCTGGTTTGGTTGAGTAGGGTGGTAAAAAAATCACAGCTGGTTCCCAGACCAGCAGAGAAAACCTGTGTCATGTCCTTCTCTCCCTGGCACCTGGGCTGCCAGTGCTCTGCTGAGTGGGCAGCTTTTCTTTTGATCCCCTGCCTGCTTTGTTTCTGACCCTGGAGCTGGTGACCAAGCCTGTAGAGAAATGTCCCAGCTCAGATCCTCCCAGGCCTGGTCCATGTGCACAGGACAGCGCATCTGAGGAGGGTTGCAGACCTGAGACTGTAGGTGTCATACAGTCATACAAAGAACAAGGGTTCCCCATCCATGTTCCTCAGGAAAGGAAAGCACTGTTTTAGGGTGTGTAAAGAAAAGGCATGAAATAACTCCTCCACTCCTTTCAGTGTTTGAAATGGCTTAACATCTAGTTTGGGGTACAATGCAGTCAAGAGCCAGCTGGGTGGTGTCCAGGAAGAAGGCAGGAAACATGATGAAAGATTTGGAAAACATGACCTGGGAAAGAAGATGAAAGAATAGGGATTGTTTAGTCTACAGGGGACAAGGCCAGTAACAGACATGATAGTAGTGTTCAAGTATGTGCAAGGTTCCTGCAGGGAGGAGGGGAATAAACTGTACGGCCTGACTGCTTGGGGCTAGGGCTAAAAGAAAGGGGCTCAATATGAAGGTGACAAGACTTAGGTAAACATTTAAGAAAGCTTTGAAATTATAAGGATATTTTGGTCCTGCAGTTATTTGCCTTTGAGGAGGCAGTGGAAGCATCATCACTGGAGGTTTTTATAAAACAGACAAACCTCCTACAGGAATATTTTGGGTATTGCTTTGGGAAAGGAGGTGGAATACATGCTTCTGAAGGTCGTTTCCCAGGAAATAATGAAGAAATCTTATTTATTTATTTTATTCTGTGAACTTAGGTAATTAGGTAATCTAATAACCCAGCAAGTAACTGAAGAGATAGTGACAATTCATTATTGCAACATACCAGTGGCAAATAGACAGCTGATTTATGCACAAAACTCAGTGATGATGATGATACCCTTCTGCTCTCTGTTCTAGTTTAAAAAAAAATCTGAGCAAGCTAATTTTACTGGAGCATTTCAAAAGGCTGTTCCTGTAAATATCTTACTCTACACAGAAATAGAGGAAGCAATGTTAGTTGACTTTGCTTATTGAAGTATTGTGCAAACACTATCAGTACCTGTTATTGATTGTACATAGCACGGCCATGGTAAAGCCAGCAGTACTTTATGAGGCACAGGAGCTGAACTGGAGCAAGATGTTGTGTTTTCAATCTTGATGTCTGTGCACTTTTATGCTTCTTTTATGTGGAGTAGGGAGCAGGCTGAGAAGAACTAAGCTTTAGTTACCTCATTGCTATCTATACATGAGTTACTCTCCATTGTCTTGTTACATTAAGTGCCTTGAGAAATACCTTGTGGTGTCCCTATGAATACTTTCCTCCCTTTTTTCTTCACTGGAGGATCCCTTCTATGACTTTGAAAGTTCCTGCAGGTCCCCTGCAGTCTTTCAACTCCATTTCTGCTATAGGACCAAAATGTACTTTTCTTTTTGAAACACAGGGAATGCATGACAGGGAAGAGGAG